GAGGAACCAAAGGTGGGAGACCGGCCGCCAGAACCATAAGAATGAACGGAGGGGTTCTGACTATCCTCACGGTCTGACATGACTCAGAGAAGGAATGAAAGAAACTTACTTGGAGACGATTAGAAGACTCGGAGGACTCGGAAATAGTAGAAGCAGCCGGGCAGGTTTTTGAATTGAAGATTTGCAAGTGAGGAAATTCCAAGGAGAACGACGCTTTATATAGGAGAGATGCCGCCCAGACGGGCGAATGAAGAAATGACACGTGGCGGCTGAAATGATTTGCAATCATAACCTCTCGGGGAGACGAAACGGCACGTTAAATCGGCGGCTCTGTACCCGACTTCGAGAAGATTCTCCCGCTTTGGACCACCGTTTTTTAAAATTCAAAATTCAAAATTCAAATATTTTGGGTTGGCGCTGGTTTTCCGAGACGATTTCCCCACCGAAAAGCGACTGGGCTGTTCAAATTCCAGGAAATGATCGCATGTGCTTTCCGCCCCTGATGGTCCCCACAGGACCGGGAATCGGAGGACTCCTTGATGGGTAATAACCCAAGGATACCACCCGGTTGGTTCACCGAACAGCACGCGTCTTTTTCAGCCCGGGTTATTTGACCGGTTGGATGAGGAGACCAGACGCCAATACCCGAAGATCTACTTTCAAAGTGCACCTGGTGGGCCGGTCAGCCGCCTGACCGGTTGGATAATCAGAGACGTGCTTGACGCGCTTAGGATTATTATAAATACCCTTAAAAGCCTCATTTGTGAGGCATGTTTTAGTTAACCTACACGGCTTGTATTTGTAATAACTCCTATTATCATTAATAACAAACCGGGTCACAGGTGATTCCACCTACAACCCTTCCGATTACTCACACTTAATATTTGCGTGGTAATTTACACCATCAAAAACTATATCATAAGACAAAACCAATTATATTAAATTTATGTTATAATCAATATACTTTTTTCATAAATCGTGATAAAAAATGTCACTGTTTGACTAAAAAAGTCAAAAGAGGAGAGTTTTTAGGACCAAATGTAGTAATATCTTTAGCGTGATAAAAAAATTTACTAGTCTTTAAATTTGTGTTTGTGTGAAGCATCACGCTAACACAAAATGAATGTGCATAACTCTAGTATATAATTTGGGGCACAAATTTAAGTACTCCGTATATAAATAGCTTAATTCTATTTTCAATTTAGTACTCCTTCCATCCCAATTTAAAGCGTCTATTCCTTTTATAATATTTGACTAAAATTATATTCAATACAATTTATTTGAAAATTGAAGCAGAATTAAAAAAATAAATTACATAGTAAAAAACTGCCTCAAAAACTCCGCAAAATAAAAGGTGACATTATTATGTTATTTTATCAAATGAATAGCAAAAATAAGCAACAAAAATGAATAAAATTTAACTTTGTAAATAGTAAATAAACAATTTAATTTGAAACAAACAAGTATAGAGAGTAAGTTTGTCTATGTTCTACTCTAATTAATATTATTTTTATTACCGTTATTGTTATTATTATTGTTGTTACCTTTATTATTATTATTATTATTAACATGAAATTTGAAATAATTATTTGGCTATACATCTAAAGCAATGAAATTTAATTAGATGCTATTTGGATTATTTTGAATAACTTAATAAAGAAATTTTAATTGAAGTTATCTATCTTCCTCCTCGTCTCAGATACAAACATACTCCACAAAGTACACATTAATTAAATCAAAAGTCATTACTCATCAATTCAATATATTTATGCAATTCGAAGAAATTCCCTTATTCATTGGGTCCATGTTTACAAATACATTTATAATGTAATGATAAAATCTCTATTTGTGATATTAGTAATTCAAACTCTCTTTAAACTTACGTCATGATTACACATTCTTCAAGGCCTACTCAAAGGACATTGAAAGATATCGGCTGAGTGAGTAGAATGGCTGAATGGGAAGGTCCAAACGTGTTGTTTGGAGCCCAATACAACGACAGGACCGCATTCGTGTCAAGGTTGAGCCAACGTGTTAACTAGACCGAGAGAAGCGCCATTTGTAGGTATGGGCCGTAGCCCAAGCTGGAAATGAGACTGGAGCGCTAATCCCACCGATCGTGGGTGATTGGCGATTGATTCTTTGCCCATAATGGTTGCAGCTGGTGTCGAGTGGTTGATGGAAATATGAACAATGTGCACGGGATGGAACATCGGTAACGGTGGATAGCCTCTGCTAGGGTATGATTGCATTGAGTGGAACGACAACAACAAACAAGACTAGAACAACGGTGGTGAGTAACAAACTAAACAACGCCTAAAGTATAATAAAGAGAATGAAAACAAAGTGCCAGAGCTTTCATTAAGCTATAAGGTAAGAAGGATAAAATTTAGGATTGTCTAGGGACTACTAGACTTGCTATATGAAACATTGTTTGAATCATATTAAAATATTGAATTTAATCATGTAGTCAACTCAACTCAAGAGCTTATTATGAATTCATTATTTTCTCCTCAATTTTTTTGATTTAGATGCTCTAGCACTCCTCCTCAAGGAGACATCCAAGTCATTTGGATTCTAATTAGTTGATCACTTAAAAATGGATCCTCGTCTCGTGAAATTAATATTGACGAATGTACGATCAACACCTAAAGGACCACGAGCTACTAGGCTAACTTTCAGGCAAACAATCAGGTTAAATGGACTACAGGCCACGGGTATATATACTCTATATGGACAACAAGGCTAAAGACTTACAAGCCGCTAGAAATTAATTTCTAGTCAGACACCTTAACAAATGAGGTGGGTCAAAACTTGCTCTCATACCATGATAAAATTTAGGATGGGTGGAGATCACTAGACTAGGCCATAAGATACTTAGCCTGAACTTAAAAGATTAAAATTGCTCTCATACCATGATTGATTAGTTCGATCAACTCAAAAGCTTATAAATTCATTATTCTTTACCTCAATTTCTAATGTGGGATGATCTAATAAGTAGCGCAAGTCTACCTTATTAGTTAACATAGACGATCTCCTCCTAAGATGAAATTGTGAACGTTTTAGAGCTTTCTATGGATGCACAAAGTACAAGCAAACGAAATGACGTACAAAATGAGGCTACACCCTGAAAAGTTGATCGGTGAATTAGGAGAATAACACTCAAACACACTGCTCTGTTTGTTTATCTCTTCGTGCTTGAGGCTCAGAAAACTAGTAACAAGCAATGAAGTAGTGTTTGAACTCTTGTCATAATTAAAATCTAAAGCCCGGCACCAAGGGAACCGATGCATGTGTCTCAACGCGATGTGTCGAGCCGTACGGACTAGAGTGATGGTGTGCATAGACTTTTCTTTCGTAACCCTCACAAAAAATTATCAAGTTCTTTATATTTCTTATATTTATAGTATTGGAGAACTTATGGTTGGTGTGAATTTCCCATAGAGGACAACGTTCAATATAAACTCAACCATTTCTTCTAATCAACGGGTTTATTTTGAGAATGAATTTCTCATCCACCCATCAATTATTTTTTATGTATAATATATCAAATCCTTCATCACATGAAAACATACGTCCATTAATAAGTGGCCAAAATCGTTAGTAGAGCTCATTGATCATTTTTGCAATTTAAAAGCTAAGGGAGGTATCTATTTGGGAATTGTCTTAGCCGAAAAGAGTTTTGTTTTTGAGAAATTTACAAAAATAGGAGTAAAAGAAGTTGGTTTTCCCT